AACTTAATAAACACGTTAAAATTGTATCGTAAGTAAAATAAAGACAGAAATTAAAACAAAAAAAAATACCTAGTTAGTGATTCTTATTTTCATTTACAACTTAACCAATAGTTAAAAAGTTAATACTACATATTAAATGACTCAATCAAAACAAAAATCTCTTTGCTTCGCCGAGAGCAAACAAGTCTAATTGCGTCAAATAATCGTTAGTGGAACCGATGATTGATAAAAATATTCAATAGAAAATTTATATTGCCACCAATCAGAGTACAAACTACGTCGTAATACGGTCATAACAAACTAGAAGTTTGTAATCGTGGATAAAGTACAGTCACCTCCGTTCGTAGTATTACAATTACAAAAAACAGAAAGACAGTTACGCTTAACCTCGGACAATGTACAATAAGAATGTTTTAGATTTATTTATCGAATTTAAATACTGTGCATCACTATAATACAATCCTGACTATTGTATGGTTTAAGACCGACCGACATTTAAAGTTTTTAAAACGAATGTCTCATTCAATATGGGACATCTTCAACAAAGGTGACTGTACTTTCGAAAGTATATTGAACCAATAAACGTGTTGATTGACTTCCTGCCTCTTAAATCCCTACTTCATTTTGTCGTTTGATTTCTTCAAATAATTATTTATGACTTACTTTTATATGTCACGGTAAATGACCAATATCCGTTATTACATACTTTTAAGCCGCAGTTAAGTACAGAGTACATAATCTACTTGATAAATGTTAATTATTAACATTAACTAAATTAAATGTAAACTAGTAATAGCGAGTTTTACTTTGATTATGCAAATGTTAATGGTATTTATAGTAATAAAAATCAATTTTCTAAAGACTTGAGCAAAGCCTGTCTAATTTAATTGTAAAAAGCTATTACCCTAAGCTAAGATTTATGATGTACTTGAGCAATTATCTCATTTTATTTTTTATGTCATAAATTTCAGCAAAACGCTTCTTGATAAAATGTGAAAGACTTATGGCCGGTTTCCCAGGCACTTTTAACCATTCGTTAGTGTGTTAGTTCGATAGTACTTTACTCCTTTGAAACTCAGGTTAACATAGCACTAATGAATCGCTAAGTAATGACAAAATAAGTTAAACTTCAGATACCCAGAATTAATTTGATGACTCTTTTTCGAAAGAATTTAACTGCATATACACAAACTTTTATTGGTCACTAAGGGAGAGACTTATTTTGTAAAATAATCTTAAAACAATGATGTGGTAATCATAAAAAATGTCTAACACTCGGGATTTGTTGATCAACATTTTTTTAATGTTCGCACTTTAAAAATTCGCTCGTAATAAAAACTGATATTACCTAAATATAATTAACGGATTTTTTACTTTTACGATTTTTAAAACCTTATTGCGAGAGCAGGTGCGTCAAACGAAACACACCGGTCCTTTAATGAGATTATAAAACAATATGGCGCCGGTTGTAAAGGCGGGAATTCGTTTTTTGAATATGTAAATCCTTTTTACAATACCACGACTACAACAAATGCTTTCAATTTTTAACGAACTTTCTTAAAAATTCAAACCTTACAAAAAAAACAAGAAAAACTCGTTATGGCTTAGCATGCTTACTTTCTTTGGATGTATTACGTTCTATAGAAAAGAAACAATTAATTTTTATACACTAAACATATAAAAAATACGTTTTTTCTACTGTTTTCTACTCTACCCGTTCAAATCTCGCTAGAAACTTGATCCTATAGTCACCAATTGTTAGAACAAAACGGTTAAGGTGAAGGAGTGACAGACGCGTTGACAGAGAACAAATAACGAAGCTTTAACAAGATCAGAGTGTCAGCGACATGCAAATTGCGTCGACGCTTTTGGATAAATGTAACGAAACTTACAAACCCTATGTTGTTGCGAAAACTCGTAGATTCCTTTCAATTTAAATAGAGTAAAAAGAGATAGACTGGTTTCTGGCTTTGTTGTTTTGTTTTTAATTTAGTCTGCTATATTCTATACAAATGGTGTTCAATTTTAAATCGTAGTAATAATCCCGTGGATTGACACTTTTATTTTAATATTCGAGATGTATATTCTATTATTCACAGTTCCCGTGTTTCTATTATTTCATCCAGAAGAATATAATGTGTTTGCATTCTATTGTGTATCATTCTTTGCATCTAGCCATTGTGAGAGATGCATTATTACTGAGAGTTACATGAACCATGCGGTAAAGACCAATTTAACCCATTTCCTTGACATTTGATATTCATTTGCGTATAAAATGAGTAACGTAAAACCGCACTCAAAATCTTAAATAATAACAAGTCATAGACAGTTAAGACAGTCACTTAGGATAGATTTTATAACGGTTCATAGAAATGTATGGAAGAGCAGTATATACTGTGTCGACCCTTCATAGGGATAAGGGCAAGCTGATGATGGTTAGTACATTTTTTTTTCAAATGTACACTTAGACTATTAGTGATAAATGGATTATTCCCATCAGTCAAACCACACTGTCCCCACGTGAGAATAAAAAGTTTCATCCGTCCCACCTTTTAGTCCCCTATCACCAATAAGGTGACAATTGGAACCGTTATGAAATAAAATAAGTTCTAACCGTCCCCTTGTCGCAAAATGTGGGACGGATGAATCTTTTTAACCTAACTTGTTCTTACGTGGGGACAGAGCGGGGTGAAGGTTGGGAATAATCCCAATTACTCAGTACAGCGTTTACAAAATTAAATACAGTTCAAAAAAGGTACCAACGTATAAACCGAAAAACGTTGTAAATATCCGAAATCGTCTTATTCCCACGAAGGAGCAAGGAACCGTGTCTTGATACTGAAGACGTCGCGACCAACGGAGCGTGGCTTCACACGCTCGTGTGTGAACCGTCGCCGCGCCGAGATGACCGCGCCATTCGATGCTCTACCGTTTTTTATGAACATATGAATCTGTTTATTTATAACAAATATGATAGAGATATATTAAATTCAATTGATACTATTGTGTGTTTTATTTGTAGACCATTAGGTTAAGTACAATTAATTTCTTACAATCTTTAAGAGTAAATAAGTTAAAATATTTTAACGCGATATACTCGTAGAAGATGTGATGCCTCTTGGTGCAATTTTTTAAGACTTATAACTGTGCTGGCTTAATGATATCATAAGACATTTTCATATTTCGTGAAAAGACTCTTTAGTACCCTAAAATTACTGCGTAAAGATATATTACTAAAATCTTCTTTTTTAATATTTAGGATTTACATTACATACAAAACAGTCCGGATAAATACCAATTTCTTAAATCGATATAATTATTTAATTCATGTCGCAAGAGTCTCGCATCGATGCATCACAGCCCTTGTTCCCACGGTGACCTGACCCGGTAATTCATTGGCCCTTACTACGCCTTAGACCTGTGACCACAGGTGCTCCTTAAGAAATAAGGGCTGTCAGGACGTTAATACCCTAATTTTAATGGACCATTTTTTATGACATTGAAATTTGTTCAAGACGAAAACTTTTTTTTTATTAGTTTGAAATATAATTATTTACTTACATGGCGATTCTATCATTAGTAAATTCTTGTTTATTTCAATCAATATATAGAAATACCAAATAAATAAAATACAACGGTAAACATAAATCTAAAAAAAACTAAGTTATTAAACCTTAATGCACAAAACAACTAGTTAAGTGAACAAGGACACGATTTGTAATTTATAATTAAAATCAGAAATTAAGTTACTTCTTTTGACAGCCCTGTGCGCACTGACCGTGCACTGTTGTGTGATTTTCTTAAGTCGCGGACACATGAGGTCATAGTTAAGTAAAAACTTTAAGGGGCGTTATGGGAAGTGAGCACGGTAACATCACAGTATAATGTTCATAAAGCTTTACCGACCTGTACATAACGCTACAGAATATATTAACATAGCTTATTAAATTGGTAGATTTAACTTTTTATTCTGAGAAAATATCGCCTTTGTTTCAGAGTTTTTGTGACAAAAACGTGAAAATTCAATTTTAATTTTATTGTGATTTTCAAACTTATAAATTTAACAAATAAATTAATAAAGATTGCAGTGTTCGATTACAGAAAAACTGCTTAAAGAGTTGATACAGAACATTTTTGATAGATGTTTGGATTATTTTTTTTATGTTAGTTTAATTAAATATATATTTTAATAATTAAATTTTTATCTAACAATGTTATTTATTTACCATTCTTGCATAAGATACGGACAAAAAACCCTAACTTGGATCGGTGCGAAATGATGTTTTGTCACGGAACATTACAAGCGGGTAATTAAATGTACACGTAAATATGAAAAAATGTAATTATAAGAAACATCGCATAATGTAATGCAAAAGGATATGCTAAGGTAGCATGTGAATTATCATTAAAAAAAACTGTAATAGCACCATCTATTGTCTTATCAAGGATAACCTGTTTTTATTTAGTTACGCAAACCGATTGTGTTCGTGAATATAAGTTTCCGCGATTGAGAAAAATGTACAAGAAATTGAATATGATTTTCTTATGTTATTTATCATGATTTATTTTACATTTTACATACTACATTTTTTTATTAAAAAAATTTGTACAATAAAATTATTTAAACTAAACTAAAAACCTTAGCTTTAGACATTAGCTAAGACTTATCCTCAAATGTGAATACGGTAGTAATTTGAGTATATATTGGTAAACTGTTATAACCTTATTTTAACATCCCTGTTTGTTGAACAAAACCGTTAAATTTTAACGCCTGTAACACACGATCGAAAAATCGAAAGGGATTCGAAGCAAATATTGATATACAATGACTGCATTTGTACACGATCAAACCATTTAGCTGATAACAGCAAGCATTACAAGCAAATTATGTTATATCATTGCTTCGCGTTACAATGTTTTTTTGTTCTGATTCCGTAGAAACAGTATCCTGGAGGCGTTAAATCTGAAAATATATTACTATTTTGAGACGCATATCGTACCTTTATGTGTGTCATCCGATGGTAGTACAAATTGGAACTCGCAGTGAATCTCTTCCCGCAATGTTGGCATTGATGTGGTTTCTCTCCGGAGTGTATCCGTCTGTGAGTGTTCAGGCTGCTTGATGTGCTGAACCCTTTGTTACACACCATGCACACGTGAGGCTTTTCACCTGAAATAAATTTCTATGTGTATAGTCTGGAAAGCTGGCCGTGTTCTAATTTAAAGACTACAATCGTTTTAACATTTTTAAAGCGTCATGTAATTAAAACCAATACAACTGAGCTTATAAATGTGTCCGTACGAAAAAAAAATTATACAGGGCTTGTTTATTTTTATTATTGTTTGCACTACTTACTGACTATCTAATTAGTTATTTGTAGGAAGAGACGGAGTTTGTATTGTCGCAGTGAACAAGGTATTTTTTCCAGAAGTGGAACACAGCGGATTTCCGCTACTGTACATTGGCTATTTTCAATTTCTCTGACTAAGGCATTTAATGTATTTGTAACAAATTTTGTAAAATGTTAAATTAAAATGCTATACCTGTGTGAGTTCGCATATGTCTTTTTAACAGTGACGGTCGATCGAAAGCTTTCCCACACACTTCACAAGGCAGCAACGCTCTTTCAGATTTCGCCGGCCTTCGTTGTATTTTAGGCGTCATTTCTAGTAGTTCACTCGATGAGCCTGCTGATGATGACGTCAGAGAGTCTCCGGACACCGATTTGTGCTCATCCTCAGCACCAGATGGCGGTGATATCGGCAATAGTACTCGAGATAGAAGAGACGTGGATAGATCTAAAGGAGAATCTGCGAAGGAAATGTTTTATTAATATTTAAGAATAAATTTTTCTTAATATTAGTATTGTATAATTGCGAAATCTTAGATCGATGGATGTTTGTTAGAGTTTGTAGCCTAAAGCTGATCGGATGTCAAATAAATTTATATGTAGATGTCTGAAAGAACACATAGGCTACTTTATTTTGTTTTTTTTAATTCCACTTGGGTGGAATAGCAGGCGAAAACTAGAATTCAATATGATTTCTCATACTAAAAATATATCAAGAACTATAAAACTTTCGGTCTAGACAGTTTTACAGTGTTACAATCAATCCAAATCTAGATTAGTTTTCTATTCAACCGAACGATAATAAATCAATAAGTGATTCGTTTGAACCTATAAATTGAGACGCTTTCATCATTAAAAACATCCAAAGCAAAGCATAATTAAGATAATAATTGACAACCGTAAAATTGTTATTGTAGAAGTGTAGACAATCTGTATTTATGACATACAATATATTGAAACGAGTCTCATATATTTTAATGTTGAATCGTAAATGTCTATTATTTTTATGATTTGAGGCCACCGTTTTAGTTGCATTAACAATTTCAGAAGAAACGTTACGGAGATCTTAATGTTATTCGCTGTGAGTTTTCACTAGATTAAATACATATGAAGCAAACATAGAATTATGAAAAACGAAGGATATATTCTACTAAATCGTTATCTTAATTAGTCTGCATCTGAATATGGAGCGAAGCGTAAAAGTGATGACAATCTTCATTGAGCCGACAGCCGATTTAATTCTATTTCCATAGATTACTCTTGTCGTATCTTTTTGTTTGAAACTTGCAAATACACACATTCAGTCTATTTTACTCCGTTCTTTTGTTTTTGAGTCTGTCTTTTTGACCGACTTCGAAAAAGAAGAAGGTACTAAATTCGTCTGTAATTTTTTTTATGTGTGTTACCGCATATCTCCGCCCCTAGTGGAACGGTTTTGATTTTTTTTTTCAACTCAACAACAACGTATAACATTTTAAGTGTAAGAAATAATACAAAATTGTATCTCTAAATGCTTATGATGCGAAAATGAAACAATATCTTACATTGTAAGTGAGCTAAGCAAAACGAGAATTTAATAATTTATCTATTTACTATTGTATCATTTATGGCAGTGCGTTTGTCTCCAATTTATTGAATTAATGTCATTAAACAATGCTCTATAACTTAAATCCAATATAAGTTAGAGCTTAACAATATAAGATATATAAATACAAGTATGGAGGCTTTCCGTCGACAGCTGCATTCGAATCGATATGGTCTTCGATCGGATCTGCCTTTGCTTTACAAACGGTGCCGCGGCGATATCTCGCAGCGCATATAACTGCTGATTTAAGGCGTGTTTAAAATAATTATTAGTTATAGATAAAATACTACTTATACTTAAATTTGATAATAAATTTTAAATGTCAAACAATTGTCTATTCCTGACAAAACTGTTTTTGTTGCTACTATATCTTTTGATATTTTAGAGTAGAAAGATAGGGCTGTCCATATATTTATGCAATTAGATTTGACATTTCGTTGTAACTAAAAGATTGTGCATGTAACAGACATGTGAAGACCCCTAATGAATTATAATATTAGAACTCGTTGAAATCTTTTTAAGGGTCAAAGAAATAAGAGATTTTTTAGTTTGTTAAACTTTAACAAACCAGGTTAATTCAATCTAATAATGACTGTTATTTCTAAGACACTAGTATTCGCTTATTTATGTATTTACTTACTAACATTTATAGGCATTCTTTGATATCTTTATATTTTAAATTGTCTCAAACTAAAATACACTTCGGGTCACTGCGCTACTCTAGTTTATTTGATAAAGAATTCTTAAAAGAAAACGCTTGTATCGTTTCCGTTCAGACAAGTTAATTTCAATATATCGACACCGGAGACAAATGACATTCGCGTAGATAATTTATTCAAAAACGCTACCGCATCAGGGGATGTCAACTTTTAAAAATTGTTTTCCATTAAATTGATATCACGCTATAAATCAAATAGCGAGAACGCTGTTCGCCGCACGTCTGCCGCTGCCTTAGCACGATAAAAAAGCAATCACAAAACGCGCGACTACCGAAACGAGACGCCAGCGGAAGGCGGAATGTACTTTGATATGTGCCGCTAACACAAGTGTCTACAGTAGAAGCGAATTAAGTAGAACCACTTTATATCAACTGGATGCTGGATGAATTAATACGTATACTGTAATTTTACTAAACACCGCATTAAGCGCAACATTTGTTAAACTAACATATTTTGGAATTGTTAACCTATAAATATACAAACGAATACTAACATGTAAAGACTTAACTTCTGTAACATTAAATTTACTACAATTCGATATGATGTAAATCTACACTCTATACTAATATTAAAAAGGAAAGATTTGCATTTTTTTTGTATTTAAATAACTCAAAAACTACAAGGCCGATTTTCAAAATTCTTTCACCATTAAAAAGCTATGTCATCACTGAGTAACATAGGCTATATATTTTAATTTCACGTGGACAGTCGTGAGCAACAGCTAGTATAAAATGAAATGCTAAATGAATACTTATTAGTAAAAATCTTTAAGCTGATATCAAACGTGTCTTTGTAGTGTATCTCACTCCGCGATCAAATGTCGCCGCGCGTCGCAGAACACGAACTCAATCTTTAGATATTCCATTCGCTTGTCCTATCAGCGTGCGAAAATATTCACAGATAATAAATTCACTCCTTTCTATTTGCCGCTCGAATAAAACTATGGATGTATTCAATCAATATAGTAACAGATTTATTAATAAGTATTTTGATAAAGTGGCAACTTGGATTTAATTTTCATTTAATCTGAGATATTAATTATTCATTTCAAAGCATTTTATGAAGTCGACGAAAACTCATCGTCCTAAAGATTATAAAACATTAAATTTCAAAAGAATCAAACAAACTTATCACAATCTGACACTAAAAACAAAAATAGCGTTAACTAGTGACTAATTTATTTCTCAGATTAGAAAACAGCAGGGTTTGTCTGGCTATTTAAATTCGGAATTCATTAGCAAACAATTTTATATAAAAAACAAAGAGTATCCAAACAATTTCAATGTGTTCACTTAATTAAATCGAATAACATGTCGAGAAAACAAACTATAAATCTACTTTCACCGAAGCATACATTTGCGTACGTGTTACGGACGAAACGTTCAGTCATTACGTTCATTTTGTAAAGATTGTATGAGCCATAATAAATACCTCAACACGTATCGCGTGTAGATTATTTTGATTACATATTCAGACTGTATTAGTTAAAGGTATTTATTCTGTAGTTTTACTCTGTGAAACGGGATGGAAAGAGTTGAGACGTTTAATTATATTATCATCCTTACTGTCAGTTTACATTGACGAAAATCTTTTATACATCACAGATTAATTTCTTTTCTAATGATGAAATTATTAAAATCGGCCCAGTAGTTTTTGAGTTATTTGAATATATGTAAAAATACAAATCTTTACTCTTTGTAATATTAATATAGACTAGCTGTTGCTCGCGGCTTTGCCAATGTGAAATTAAAAAAAGATAATAAAAAAATGCCTATGATACTGGCAGATAAATGACGTTTCTAACGATGAAAGATATTTTTGGAAATCGGACCAGTAGTTCTTGAATTACAATACATACAAAAATACAAATCTTTCCTCTTTATAATATAATGTTATGTATTTTTTAATAAGGGTCATAACATGGATATATTTGTGTATTATCTAGCTTTTACCGCATACTGCTGATAACACATTTAACAATTGGTGATCGTAGTCCGTGTGTATTGACCCTTATATGTTTAGTATGATGCATTAAAGTTAAATTGCTCACCTTCTAAAATAGAGTCCATCGTCTGTCTGTACAAATTGTTCCTCATTCTGACGAAGAATAGCTCCTCAGGTCGCTCAGGTAAATAGTAAACTATGAGTTCCGTATGCATTGATATGGGCTTCACTGCTTCGTATACCGGCTCCCCCTTTACTTTAGTGCACACTAAATTTACCTAAAACAATTGAATAAATACGTTTTAAAACTAAACATAACCATTTCATGAATTAAATATGAATAAATGTTCTTTAGAGGCGACAAATTAATTTATGAAACAATTGAAGCCAAGATTATTTTAAACAATCTTACGTAGGTTTAAGCAATTGACTCACTTGAGGTCCATAGTTTTCTGATACGCGTAAAAATCTAACCCAGTTGCAATGCCTTACTTGCACACCCCCTGACGTGCAAACTTCGTCGAAAAGGCCAAATCTATGACGAATCTGGAACAAAGAACAATAATAAGAAAAATGATGAGTGTTCTCGCATCTAAATACATTTATAATAAAATAACAATTAAACAAAACGACTTCCTCATAACAGAAATATCAAATAAAACTGCTTTTAACCTCAAAATGCTCTCTCGTGTTCATAAACATTTAATTTCCAAGTCCCTTATCTTAATTCATAGAGATATCCTTTGAATAAATGCATCGTATCAAAGTGCCGCAGGTGGAAATTACGAGAATGTATTTGTAATCGCATAATCAATAAGTAAAACTTTATTTAATATCTCGAATTATAAGCGAAAGAGTCTCGAGTGCAATACGCTTAAATGCGCACTGATAACACGTATAAATTGTTCGCATTTCTCTAATAGGTCTTCTCAAAGAGTATTAAATTTATACAGACGAGACTGAACTTTACTAAAAGTCTTTTACCTATTAGTATTTATGATATCCCTATTTTAATGTGAAACATCTGTTTGTAAACCTGTTGATATATTAATAACAATGTAGTTTTCGACTTTACACATACTGTTTCCCTTTTTGAAATTTGAAATTTGAATTGAAATTTGAAAAGCTAAATCTGAGAATTAAAATAAAGCTTTTATCGGAAAAAGCATTACTACTGTTTGTGGCAAGAGAATTTCTTAACCATTCAAAGACGTATCTCTTCTGAAAATACTTAATCTATGACAATTCAACATCTAAACTGCCAGTGCGTGCCCAATACGCAACGACGTGAAAATTACGACAAATAACGCGAGCGAATCGAATGTTCTTGCTAGTGGTACCTGAGCAATTAGTCGGTAAGATACAGGCTCCGCCGAGGCCGAGTCGAATCTTTATTAGCTACCTGATATTTAATTGTACCTTTACCTTACTTTCGAGATATCTTAGAGCGCATGTGGTAATTAAAATGAATTTCATAACGATTTTAAAGCCTATAAATGAAATTATTCTTTAAGAGAACAACCAATGTGGTCTGTTTGGATATCAAGATTTGTTTAGGCGAATAAATTCCAATATTTTTACTATAGAACGTAATGTAAAATAAACAATGCAAAGCACATTGCACACAATATACACACGATGTTATGGAGAGTAATCTGAATGATAATTGTCATAGATGTAGAACATAGTTTGGAAGAACACATAGGCTACTTTCTTTTGTTTTTTGCATGCGGAGGAAGTCGCCAGCAAAAGCTAGTCATCAGTTAAATTCGTGAACAAAATAACGAAAACATCTGACTTGTAAAGTTGATAGATCTTACTAATATTATAAATGCGAAAGTTTAGATGGATGGATAGATGGATGAATGGATGGATGTTTGTTAGCTTTGTAGCCTAAACGGCTGAACGGATCTCCATAAAATTTGGCACAGGTTTAGAGCATAGGCTGGAAGAACACATAGGCTACTTTTTATCCCTGGAATAGTTACGGTTCCGGTGGGATTCATTAATTTAGTTTTTTAATGTTTACTCGATCACTCTGCAACGGTTCAACATATCTTATTAAAATTTGGCACGGATATAAAACAAAGTCTGGAGTACACATGGGATAAGCTTCATCCCCGAGAAATATCCAGTTCCCGAGGGATACGTAGCTTTTTGTAATTTATATAGTTTGTATGTTTTCTAATACCACGCGTACGAAGTCGCGGGCAACAGCACGTATAAAATAAAATATTCATTTAGATTTTTCAATCTTGATTAAGACGGAATAATTACGTTTAATCTAATTAATGTAGCTATTAAGATGATTGTTATTCGATAAAGTTTCAGTTGAACATTCATTTAATATAACCATCACCGTTTATAGCCTTTTAATGTTACGATATAATAAATATGTAAATTTATACTAATATTGTACGCTTATTTTAAATCGAATCTCACTTAAACGATAACGATATATCAATCATAATTCACTTTTATTTTATTTGTAAACAAAATAATTTATTAAATCAAAATGCATTTTAAGTGCCTGTATAAAGCTATACATAAGGTTGTGTTCACACTATGTTTTAGGATTATTGAGTATAAAGGGTACAGGACCCTACGGAAGTAGGAAAGGCCGGGGAGATGATGATGAGTTTTAAAGGATACAGCAATATAATTATTTGTATTCCATGTCTAATGAAATAAACCGTTATTTTATTACAAAGATTGTCACAATGACAGATATATTACAATATACAAAATTAAATAACTTACTATATTTGATATCGATTTAAAAGTTTTTACTGCATTTCATAAGAATAATTAAGTGCTGCCAAATACGCAGCGCGGACAATATTCGAAAAAGTGAACTTAAAATTCCATCCGCGCCTCACAAAATGAGCGTACCGATCCGAATTTATTACGAGGGCCCGCAATCGATTCTGTATCGATTTTTAATCAATCTCCTAAATGGTCTCTATCAAATTTAATTGACGTCAGTCGTGAGAGCCCTAAAAAGCCTGCACGTATTGACCGACGCGATCAAAAACAATTATTGAGACATAAGCAAAGGGTACCTCGGTAAAGTTTTTTTTTCTGTTTTAAATGATTAGCAGATACTAATGGCTCATCTTTGACTCACGATTATACGTTTAGGAGTTTGAATCCCGAAATGTACCAACAAGCTTCTGTTTATTATATTGATGTATGAGTACAAGGTCTAATGTTTAATTGAAGTAACAAGATAAAGGATAAAATGTTCGTAAGATACAGGTTTCTTACCACGATTGGTTTGTTTTAGCTGCCGATATTTCGACACTGTTGCTTGGAACATGGCGCATCTTACGAACGTTATATTTGTAACAACCATCCCACCAGCTCACTATACGTCGCCACCGAGGGGCTCGGAGCCTACCCTAAAGTTTGGTTGACTAGGCTATAGTCAACCACGTTGGCCAAGTGCAGGTTGGTTTACTTCACACATATCTTTGAATTTCTTCGCCGATATGTGCAGGTTGCATGATGATGTTTTTCTTCACCGTAAGAACGCCGGGTAAATTATCTACATATGGAAATACGAAAAATCGAAAATCACATTGGTACATGGCGGTATTCGAACCCAAGACCTATAGATTACAAGTCAAGTGCTTAAACCACTGAGCCACCGACGCTCTTGTAACAACCATGACAGTTTAAAGTTAAGATAAAGGGTAAAAACGGTACTGTCATATTAAAAACCCTAATAGTTGATGTACCTAAAACTCCAAGTATGGTTTCTTAAAACAAAAAAAGTAACAGTAGCTATTAATTCTGTTTTCTCTTAGACAGCTTCGATTGTCGTGATAGCCAACGGCTTTAGACTGCGTACAGTAAACAAGCCAGTTTAAAGTTCCAAGTTGCAGCTTCTTTTTAACTATTACATAATGTACCATACATAAAATGTATGGTACATTTTATACCCTATTTCCACTAAATTTAAGACAACTTCTCTGTTCTTAGGATTTACTTCTCAGATTATCAGCTGAAGCTTGGTATACTTTAAGTTTTATAAAACATCTCTCTATTTGGTTTCTCTGTCTATTGCTTAATAATTTAGAATTAAATGTATGCACGTGTTGAGAAAGATAATATTAATTTCTTATTAAGACATTTCTACAAAAAAGAACAGAGCCGGATCTCTAATTATTTATTGAAGCTGGAACACTAACTAAATCTAAATAAAGAAGGCGTTGTTTATTTTAGTCTTCTTGCATAACACAGTAACGAGTAGGTATGCTCCGCAATTTCGTTATACACCGAAAGTATTTGTGATTATTAATGGAAAAATTATGAAAATGCCAGACGTAACAGCCGGCAACATGCGAAAGTATTACATTAATTTCATGATCGCGTTTTTAAACAGAAGCCAAAATCGACGTCCGCGCCCCGGGCCTGCATTACCGACGTCTCCGTATGCACTGCAAGTTAAATTTAGAACCGGCGCGTTTCCATTGTACGTTTAAGTTGACGGGGGATAAAAGGAAACAAGTATTAAGTTTAATTTGGACATTTCGATTTTTTTTGGTAAAATTACTTTTCTTGACATGATAATTTGGAGATGCGTTGGGGAAAAAAACTATGCAATTAAAAAAAACTTCATTTTAATGATTAAAAGATGACAAAGAGTCGATAGCCACTTATTGATGATTAGGTTTTCGATAAGTCATTCAGTTTCTTACAAGTTACTTCAGCTTAATATTAAAAGGTTTCTTGACTTGACGCTGGAACCTTTGTCTCTTAAAAAGCGTGCAATGGAAACGCATCTTTAAGGCATGAGTGGTGCGGCCCCCCCAGGCGATCATTTGCCGTACTTCCACCAAATTGCGCGGCCGCGTTCGTGCGCGCGTGCTATTACACGCACAGACCGTCGACTATCAATGAAACGGCTCGTTAGACCCCCGCCACTGCCGCAGCCCACCGAATTATTTAGATAGACGAGTGTTAAACGAAAAAAGTTGACCTCACCAGGTGTTCGGGGGGCGGTTTATCTTTAATTATTTTTTTCAATTAATTATTTTAAATATAATAATACAGCACACATGCTTAAAACATAAGTATTCACAAACCTTATAGAGTTTCCATGTGTTATTAATTTATTTAAAGTTGATTTGTTAGTCATTTTTATTGATGGGTTTAGGTTTAAAAGTTGTCAATTTTTTATTTAAATATCATCTTGATATGGGTTTAATAAATAAGATTATACAGCGAACTCCATGATAGGGATACTTTGTTACCAATACAGCACGTGCCCGGAGACACGAGACGAGTGTCCGGAGCGGTTTCTAAAACAACACGAAGTCGTGAAGGCCGCGGGTGAACAGTAATAACATCGCATTACTGCAACCGGACACTTAGTCCGTGTATGGGAGCTGGCGCAAGGCATATTTTACAGGATGTTTTATTAATTACCAATGTTTCATTTACTTTTATATTTCCCTATTTTGTTTTTTAGTACATAATGAACAATGAAATAAATTGTTTTCAATAGAAAAATCTATGTTTAATATTTTGGGGCGTATTTT